GTAAGCGCCGTTTCCAAAAACAGGTGTCCAGAAGCCAATCTGTAATCAGCGGCCCATGCACATCTAAAGGCTTTTATTTGGTAATGCAAGTAACACGCAAGCCTGGGATGTGAATTATTTCAGACAATAAAAGCATGATGGTCTCTATGACCTATACAGCTTTTAGTGAGGTTTAAGACAGAATTATATCCCATACAGCCCGTAAATGGGTCTCCCTTTGCCCACCTTCCTGCTTCTCTCAGGAACGAAGGGTTGTGTGGCATCTGGGAAGCTTTCAGGTTTGTCTGGGTCTCAATTTCCTCCTCTGTTGATACTTTGAAGTCTCCGTTGTGTCTGAAATGAGGCAAAGACGTCCCTGGCCCGAAGTGTCTGAAAGCTGGTGCCCACCTGCCTCCCCATGTGGCTTCTCCCTTCACGCTAAGTAGGGCCCTGAATCCAGCTTTGAGCCTAAGTTCTCATAGGGGTGTAGTCTACCTGACCTCATGCTTCAAACTTCGAGTGCAAATCTGTAGTTTGCCTCGGGGGGCGGGGGGGGGGGAAGCTTTTAAAGCACAGTTAGGAAATCTAGTTGTTTTTTGTTTTTTTTTTAAATTGATTTTTTTAGAGAGATTGAGGAAGGGAAAGAAAAAGAGAGAAACATCGACTTGTTGTCCTACTTATTGATGCATCATTGGTTGTTTATTGCCTATGTCCTGACCTGGGATTGAACCTGCAACCTTGGTATATCAGGGCAATGCTCTAAACAACTAAGCTGCCCAGCCAGGGCAGGAAATCTAGATGTAATCATAGGGTGGGGTATAGTTTATGAAGCTATCTCAGCATCTTCTGAAGGACAAAAATGTGATCCTCAAATACATATAAATAAGAAAGAATTTGGTTTGCCCACAAAGTAACGAAACTGCATGGGAAGTCCTTGTTTCGTTTCTGGTTCCCATATTTGACATCTTTCATGACCACTGGAGGTTCGCTCTGGTGTCAGCTAACTGTCCCCAGCGCAGGATGTGAGTCTGTTTTCTGCATCTCCTCTGCCACTCCCAGCCACCAGCTCCTAAATGACAAGCTGCAGCACCAGGGACATGTGCACAGCACCGCTGCTGTGTGAATGAGCCATGGGAGGCACGTGACAGGACCAGTGTGGGGAGGCAGCAGAGCTGAGAACCAGGGAAGAAGGGCCAGTGGAGGAGATCCAGGGAGGAAATCAAAACGTGGGAGAAGCGGGAGGGAATGGAACTTGGCCATTTCCACGTCCACCCGCATGGTTCAGTTGCCCGGCTGAGAAGCAGGATGCGCGGCATCCACTGAGCCCGACCTCGTCAGCACCTTTGTTTCATGATAACATGTTTGTCCACTGATATCTGGTCCAAGCTTTCAATCATCATGTTGTCAGCTTTCTTTGGCACATTATCGGATACCATGTTTGCTGTGGTTAAGACAGTCAGACAGAAAGATGAATTTGTGTTAATCTAACCCTCTGGGCCCATCCTCTTGTGACCACTGTCTCTTTGAGGCTGCGGATTCAGCAGTGTCTGAGGTTCTTGGGCAAAGAGGCCCCCAGCTCATAGGGCTCCTGGGAGACCTGTGGCATCACAGACAGAACATGGGGGACCCAGGAGAAGGCCAGGCTTGGGTGGTGGGGATGGGAGGGGCTGGCGTTCTGGGAGTCCTGAATGTCTTAGAAAATATGAGATGTTTACGTCCAGAGACATCGATCTTCCTAGTTACGCATAAGCTCCGTAAGAGAAAGCAGCGGAAATTCACTGCAAAGTAAGACCAACTCTCTCGGGGTCCAGTCCCCGGAGGGGCAGCACGGAGCTTGGGAAGCTCCTGGCATCATGGTTCCAAAGACCTGGGGAAAGTTCAGCTCTAAAAACCCTTCCCATTTTCTGCCCTACCTATGGGACTATTTCTTCCCCATTTCAGACTTGTTAGCATCGGAAGGAGCTGCTAACACCTTGGCTTCCATAACCTGGAAACCACTCCTGAAACGAAGGGGGTGTCCGAGTTCACAGGAAACCTGGGGGGCGCGGAGGAACACGGAGAAGGGTCAGCAACGGTTCCTCTCCTGCCAGGTCAGGCCCCCTCAGCCCCCGGACCGAGAGCTCCCTTGACCACTCTTCCTACTTGTTCAGAGGCAGAGGGAGAAGGTGTGTCTTGGAGAGGGTCTTCTTCGGTTAGGGCCCTCATTTATGCTTTCATTGCACAACCCACCGGGAAGGAGGGTCCTTTACTGCCAATAAGGGGGTGCTATGAGCACATATGGACCCAGAAAGAAAAGTCCAGTTCAGGGGGATTTTTCCCAAACAGGAAGGAGACGGTGGTCAACGCTGAGGGGCACGAAGGCCAGCAGAGTTTGAGCAGCTACATGGACACAATGCGTGTCGGGCTCTAAGTGGATGTGGGCTCAGCATCCAGGACCGAGGGCTCTGGGCTGTGCCCTCACGTCCGCAGGAGGCCAGGCCCACGCTGAGGACGGCGATCTCCCCCCCGGACTGGAGGCCACACTCACAGCATGCTCAAGCACTACTTTGTGAAAATTAAGCTATATAAAGTTCTTAATGATTCTAGGCTTATTCAAGTCTCCTATTATACCTCTCTGAATCACTTTCATTGGTGGATACTTTTTTAATTACCTTTTCACATTCCTTAGAACACGCTGCTCACAGTGTTCTCTTATGACACACACTCAGCTTACCTAAGGGGACGCTGCTTTTTATAAAAGGGCCGTAGAAGCTGCTTTCCAAGCCCAGCCCTCAGTGGCGGGCAGCAGACTGGCCAGCCTGCGTCCATCCTGGGCCAGTCTTCCCAAGCAGCCAGAGAAGCTCCTGTGGAAGCTGGGAGCTGGCGTCTGTCTGCCAGGCCTGGGTCCAGAGGGAGCGGCCGGGAGTGCCCTGGCTGAACCACACCTCGCACTGGGCGTCTACTGCCCGCGTGTGGACGAGTGACTGAGGGCCCGAGTGACTGGCTGCATCTCCTCAGCAGCTGCGGGACACATGCCTGGTTTCATTCTCGGCTGTCAGTTAAGTACCAGCGAGAGGAAAATGCACCGGGAGGAAAGTGTCCCGAGCTGTGCACACTCCACACCCGCACCTGTCCTGTTTGCCTGGGAGTTATTCTACCCTCTGGGCTCCTCCCTGAAAGTTCAACCAGGGCTCTTTGCTCCCTCGCACCTGCTCAGGGCTCCCCCTTAATGTGTCGGCAAATGTACAGGTAAAGGAATGCGGCTGAGACATAAGGTAGATGAGTGCTTGACTTTTGATGCCACCGGGTCATTGAAGTTTGTCCGTGTTGCCTCTGGCCCCACTTTCATTTCTGAGGGCACACAGTGTCATGGTGAAAAGCATGAAGCTGGCATGTTTAATAGCAGCTCCTTCAGAGAAATGCCTCAGGATGCAGAGCAGCTGGAAGTACTGGGCACAGGTGAGGAGGGCTGGGGGCTACGACCGACAGCCCAGAGTCGGCTGCTGCTGTTTCATTGGCCCCTCATGACCCTCCGCTTCCCACCCTTCGTGGTCCCTCAGCCACGTCGCTGCACGTGTGAATGGCCACCTGATAGAGCGCGTGATAAACCCCGAGAAGAGCACGCAGAGGCTTTGTGACTGTACTGACCACGATGCACACACCTGCTTCCCCCACCCCACAGCCCACGACCACCTGAAGGTTGGGGCAGGGAGCACAGCTCGACCTCAGCACAGAGGAAGGACCCGATGTCGAGGGCACAGCAGAAGACAGGCGAGAATGTGCGGGTGGAGGGCGCGCAGACACAACACTCGAGGACAGAGACCGGGAGGAGAGCTGACGCCCGCCTCCTGGGCCCGGCGCCGGGGGGCTGGTGCAGCGCAAGCCCAAGCCCGGAACCAGCAGCTGCCACCCTGCCACCCCAGGGCCGCCCTCGGCCCCCTGGCTCCCTGACAAGGGGCCAGCTTCTGCCCCGGGAACAGACACAGGCTCCTGCCCTCCCTGATGACCCGCCTCGGACCCATCGTCCCAGGCCCGGGTGCACGGACTGCAGCCTGGGGCGGCCTCAGCTGGCTCACACACCTGTCGATGGCCAAACCCTGTAACTGCTCACGCGACCGATCATACACAAGCCCACACATCCCCAGTGGGTCCGCTTCTGCTGAACCTCCCCTCAGAACTGTCCGGGGCCTCAACAAACCAACGTGCACCATAAACACCCAGGGTGGGGAACAGCAAGTGCTATTCCCACACTCAGTGGACACAGACATTTCTTCATGGAGCAGCTTGGAGCCTGCGACCCAGGTGAGCGGGGAGCCTGCCCATGGCTCCCAGCCCCTCACTTCCAGGCCTGCCCCCCACGCGGCAGGTCCTTTCACGCCCCGAATACCACCCTCCCAGCGCTTCACCGCCCGCTCACCCACACACGTGTGCTCACCATCAGCCTCTTGCCCAGGCTCTGGGGGCGAGCACGGAGCCCCCGCTTTACCTCAGAAACAGCGCAGGCCACACTCATGCTTTCCTCTCAATTTAAAAAGCATACACATAACATAAGTTATAAATAAGTTATATAAAATAAGTTTTAAGTTATTAAAATTTTCTACATGATCTGAGCAGCCCATGAAACAACAGGTAGCAAAAATCTCCAAAATAATTGTATGACAACACTTGGCATAACAACAGCAGGGAGAGGTGACCGAGCACGTCCAGGCTGGTCCGCGTGGGGGCAGACGAGGTTGGCCGAGGCGAACAGCCCTCTGCCTGCCCGCGTGCCCTCGAACCGCTGAGGGAGCGGCTGTGGGCCCCCCGCAACAGCAGCCGCCCAACCACCTCTCACCCCGAATGAGCGCCTGAGGCCTCCTGTGGCCGAGACCACCTGGGCCCAGCCCTCCTCTCTCCATTGCCACCCGGGCTCATTGAGCCCCTTTCTCCTTCCTGGCTACCCAAGAGGCCCCCGGACTCTGAGAAGCGAAGCGTTGGCGGAGCCCTCAGTGGAACGGCAGCCCCGGAGTCCCCTGCTCAGGCTGCTGGCCGCGCCTGCCTACCTGCACGGGACAGCTTCTGCAGGGTGGTCGTCAGGTGCTGCAGGACCCCCGGCGACACTTCGTAGCGGTATGTGTCTGTCACTGGAGCCTTCTGGCACCTTCCAAACACTCCGTCTATGGGAGAAGAGAGGCAGAGAAGAGAAAGTTGATGTTTTTCAGAGAGGAGGAAGAGATCACACTGTCCTTGCACCGTGCTGAGGCTTTGGAAATGCCTTCACCAAACGGAAAGTCACCAAAAGGCTGTGAGAATTCCGCAGGCTGGGAGAGCAGTGGTTTATTTAAAAAAAGGGCAGGGTGCATGGGAAACACAGGCGGAGCTGGAGAGGAGAGCCTCGGGAGCCCGGCGCCGGTGGGTTTGTATTCCATGTTCCCATCCCTTCCACCCCAGCCCCTCCCCACCCCTCACTTTCTGTAATTTCCAGGCCATGACTTCCACATTTTTGACAAAAAAGTCAGTAACACTCAGGGCCGATTTCCAAGGTGAGAAACAGAACACCCAGAAAGTGTAACACTAATTTGCAGAAGCCGCGAGGAACTTCTCCCACGTGGGCACCACGTGGGAGGTGCTGGCGTAAGGGTGGCCAGACACGCCAGGCGCGGGGGTGTGCAGGGGATTTCCAGAACGTGGCAAAGGAGAGGTGCTCATGGAACAGGGGCACAAACGGGACGGTCCCCACCGCTCCCTCTGCGTCTGAAGCGACAGACCCGGCTCATCAGCGTCCGTCCAAACCACACCTTCCAATTAATTTCGGCCCCAGCGAGTCTTTATTCTCCAATTGCTCACTTTGAGACAAGCTTCCTGTGGGGGCTCAAACATTCAAATGACCGCCTTTCCCACACACAAAAGGCTGATTCAGGGCCCCGTGCGGCACACACAGCGCGGCCATCTGCAGTTTCAGGCCGGACGGAGGGAAACGCGTCTCTCATTGTTCACAACAGTTTCGTTGCCCCGAGTGTAGCTGAAGAAAGCCATTCAAATGCAACAAGTTTAATTAGCAGAAGCACATGTGCCCAGTGCCAGGCTGACTGGGTAATTGCTGGTCTGATTTTACACATGTGCTCAGATGGACGGCGCTGTGCGATTAGCAGAAAATCATCTTACATGTCGCGAGCGTTTTGCAGATTTCTGCAGGACTTTGCAAAGCCCAGAGACTCTGGGAGGACAACCTGCCAGCTGCTGGAAGCAGGCCACCACGGCCACGCGGGGGCCACAGCCACCGTGCCTCTGCCACGCCGGGCTCCCCGGCACTGCCTCGCCGAGTGCCTCACCACAATTCATGCATCTGCCTCCTACGCCCAGAGTGACAGCTCCCTTAGAGGGAGGGTCTTGTCCCCACGGCCACCACCCAGTGAGATGAACAGTCTGCAGTGAGAGCACAGACAATAAGTGCCCCTGTTCTCTGACTGGGTTTTGTGCCAAGAGCTCCGTGCCTGTGGGTGGTGTGGGTGTGGGGGGGGGGCCAAGGGCGGGGGACGGTGGGAGGGGGCAAAGGAGAGAAAATGAAGACTCTTCAGAACATACCTAAAACTTTCATCTCCAACCTACACCGTTTCTTCTTCTCATTGCAGTTTTTTTGGGTGACATAGTTTAATAAAATTATATAGGTTTCAGGTGCACAATTCTATAACCCGTCATCTGCATGTTGTATTGTGTGTTCGCTTCCCCTTTACCCTCTTCCACCTGCCCCACCCTCCTTCCCTCTGGCGACCGCCACACTGTTGTCTGCCTCTGAGGTCTGTTTTGCTTTACAAACGGAAATACTTTGGACATAAAATTGTAGTGTATGGAATGGAAGGAGCATCAAGATGGCCCAACGCCACGTGTCACAGGTGAGGAAACCAAGGCCGGAGTGTGCACAGCCACGGAGGGGTCAGCAGGTGAGCAGGAGGAAGAGAAATCAGGCTCCAGGGCTCCCCCCAGCCTCCATGGTAACCACGCTGCCAGGGACGCACCTGAGAATCGCCCCTCAGGAAACGCACTGCATCACTTGGGCTCCGAGAGTGAAATGGCCAAAGACATTTCTGTCTATTTTGGAATGTCCTGAGTAAATTATTCCCCTAATAAAGTAGAATGGCATCATTCTTTATATTTGGTGTGTGGTGCACAATGTTATATGTTCTCAGGAAAAGGATTGGTATTATTTGTATTGTTTGTATGTGTATACATGTATATATGTGTATGTGTAGGTGTATACATGTCTGTACAGCTGTGTGTGCGTGTGGGTGTCTACATGCATGTTGTATATATTCACATTGTGGTCATGTGTTTGCATGTGCGGGTGCACATGTATATCTCTATGCACATGTGAATGCATGTGCATCATTTTTACATGTAGCATGTGGGCGTACACATGTGTTATCTGTGTGCATGCACGCTTGCCATGTGACCAGCAGGTCAGCCCCCCAGGCAGCCGCAGGCGTGAACACGCCGGCCTTGGCCTCCCCTCGAGAGCCGTGCTAGTGAAGCTCTCCTGGGAGGCGCCTCAGGCTCCTGGGAAAGGACTCTGCTGAGGAGCGTCCGTCTGTCAGTACCGCCACACGTCTGTCACGAGCATCCACAGGAGGGACCCCCGGGCCCTGGCCAGGACACCTGCCTGCCACCCCCAAGCCACAGGCAGCTCACATCAGGTCACAGGCCTCTCTTAGTTGTGTGGCCTCTGGTGGCTCTAGTAGTGTTTCCTGTGGTGATGTGACCATTTTCTCTGCACTTGGGACATTTTATCCTCTTTTTTTTTTCCTAATGTTTTTACCTGTTTTTACTTTTATGTCTTTTTTACATTTCTTCATTATCTTTCTGGGAAGAGATAATGGGACTGCAGAATCAATAAATATAATGTGATCACCTCATCTGGGTTTTCCAAGCGGGGTAATTAGCTTAGGGCACTATTAGGGATATTGCAACACTTGTACCTGTTTAATCACTTGTGTAAATAGTTTATTCATGGAAATAATATGTGTGTAACCGTATTCCCTGGAAACCTTAAGAACAATGTTCCTGATTCTGGAGCAGGAAGAGACAGGCAGACAAGGTGCCACGATTACAGACTTCACAGGGGAGGGTGCAGCGGAGATGAACTTGGAGTAATTACGGGGCGAGGAGAGACGTGAAATAAATCATCCACACGCAGATTCCTCGTGCTGGTAAGGGTGGGGGCACGCACAGAGCAGGATCAGCCCAGCTGCTTCCTGCACTCCCAGAAGCAGTGGCCGGGCACGTGCAGTCAGATTCTCAAAACACTACCCACAGTGGGTGCCACGTGCGCTCGCTTGCCCAGTAAGGTGGCCAGTGATCCCGGGACAGAAGGACCACGGGGTTCTGCCTGCCGCAGCTCCGGGTGTGCCCAGGAAACGCAGGGTGTAATCACAGGTGTCCGCACAGGGCCCACTCTCAGCACAGCCCCGGCTCCGAGTGTCTTCAGGAGGAGCCCATCCCCATCCCCAGCCCAGGAGCTGCACCTGCTCAGGTAAGCACCCATCAGCTCCAAATCACACCGTATAGATGGGTCTCTCATTCACCCATCCGTGTGTCAAAGTTGGGCCCCAGGCGGTAGCAAAAACGAAGCAGCAACAGTGACCCCTGGTGGCCGCCTCCCTGCAGAGCTGAACCCTCGTCGAGACAGCACAGGCCAGCTGCGTCCAGCTCAGGACAATGACTCTGGCTGCCAGACCCGCCAGGTGTGCCCACTGCCAGCTCCAGGGAGGAGACGAAGATGCTGCTTCCTAATGGGGCGACGGTAAGACACGTGCACTCACGTGTACACACACACAAGCACATGCAGGCAGCCACAGGCTTGCCATGTGCACACATGGACGTGCTCACACAGGCTCGCACACACTCACACATGCACTCACACACTCCCAGTGGGAAAAGCATCACACAGCCCCTCAGATTGCCCCCATGGTGCCACCTGTCCCATGGGCTTTGCAAGCATCTCCCAGGGGCACCACAGACACACTGACTAGCCCCTCGTCCCTGGGCTGAGTGGACCAGAGTCGGCCCTCTGACCCCTGGGAGATGAAGACGCACCTGCTGCGAACGGGCCGCTGGGGACAGTCCCAGGGGTGCTCAGAGCAGGAACCCCCTCCCCGAGCCTCGCAGGCAGCTGTCGCCGTGGAGGCAGTGCCTTGTGCAGGAGCTGCGCCGCGATGCCCTGGCACGAAGGGCTGTCAGCGCCAAGTCTGAGACTGTTAACCAGTCCCTCAGGAATGCACGAGCCTGAGGCTGTCCGGCTGAAGCCAGGGGTCCGCGACCCTGTCTGCGGCCTGCACAGCAGGCCGAGGGACCCCCCACCACCACCATGTGCAGGCTCCACAACCAGCAGAGGGGACCCCTCTGCCCCCTCCAGGGTCACTCAGCTGCCAGCTGCTGAGCCCTCCCTCTAGCACAACCGGGGACCCGTGGGGCAGGTCAGCAGACCCCACCCGAACCTGCACCCAGGGTCTACCTGTCCCATTAAAAAAAAGCCCAAACGGCACTTCTGGGCACTGCTGTGGGCATCACACCTTGACGGGCAGATGGGTCTCGGGAGCCCGCTGGCGAGGGGGCGGGGGGCCCTCACAGCCAGCGCAGAGCGGGCAGCAGCGCCACCCCGCCCTGTGCCCCTGGGGCTGCCCTGCAGAGGGCTCACTCTCGGGCAGACAGGGCCCGCACAGCCCCTCCACAGGGACGGCTCCGCCACGCATGGCAGGGCCCCCCAGCCCCCTGGGGCAGGGCCTGTGACCTGAAGCTGTGGTCAGCAGTGGTCTGAACTCAGGCAGGTGGGAGAGCCACCACCCCGGGGCACTTGCGTCACCAGCCGCAGCCCAAGCAGCATTTTCCAAAATGTCTGGGTGGATATTAGAACAGCCCCTTCGCCGCCTCCTCATAATGGCTGAAAGCCGACGCCGTCTGAGGTCTGCGGCCGGCCACTCATCCCTGCTGCGTTTAAACATCTACTGGCTTCTGACCCCTGGAGATGCGGTCTGGCAGCTCGAGTGTCTGGAGCGCCCAGAGCCCTGCGGGCGGGCGGTGGGGGCGGCCAGCATCCCCAGCGCAGCGTTGATTGGCAACAACGAATCACACCTGAGCCTCCAGGCTCTCAGCCCTTCCTGCGAAGAAAATTCGCCTCTTGATA